CCTATTCCTCCATCACGAGAGGGAGGTCTAGGGGCTTGCTACCAAAGTGCCGCGGCTGCAGGAGGAAGTGGCGAGCCTCTAGACCAAGGAACGGGAAGCCTGTCAACACGCCGACGAGGCTGAGGACAAGCTGAAGGCTGCAGTCGCCAAGGCCAGGGAAGATGCCATGGAGTTTGGACAACTCCGCCCGGCCCTTGACTTTGCTCGGCGTGCGCTCGAAAACGAGCAGAAGTCGAGGGCCTGGCCGCCGCCTTGGCCGGGGATGTTGGCGCGCTCCAGAGGGAGAAGACGGTCCTCGAGGAGCAAGTGAATGGTGAGGCTCTGGTTACCTTTTTGGTTGTCGTTCAAAGTTGATTTTTTACACCCTTTGGTGTTCGGCTTGGGCAGCCCTTTAGAGGCAACTCTCCGAGGTGCGGGGTCAACTCCAATCAGAGAGCGATGATCACGACGCCTTGCACACTGCCGCTGGGTTGGTCTTCGACGACCTCGGTGTTGCCCCGACCGTGGAGACGAGCTCGCTCATAGTTCGGGTTACTCAGATCCTAGATCGGGCGCGCACGCTCGCAAGGGAGGCCCTGCACACCAGCTCCAGGTGTCGGGCCTTCAGCTGCTCCACCCCCAGGCGAGGTGGGCTCCTACACCCCCCTCGACCTCGTCGTCGAGGTTGTTGGTTGGGGTAGCTTCCTCCTCATGGATGCTCTCGACATGTCCCTCAGGGGTACCTGTCATGAAGCATTCACAAGAGGGGTGATGGCTCCTCTGCTGGAGTCAGAGCCAGAGAGCGACTCTGGTTCCTCTACGAGGAGGTCATGGAAAGATTCCGCGACGTGTTCCATCACCCCCACGAACTCGTTGCTCGCAGGGGACGGAATCATGCGTTGCGCCACAAGGTGGCCAACGGTCTCTGTGGCGTTGCGAAGACCGAACGGGAGCACTATCGGGGCGCTTCGGATGAGGTATTCTGGGGAGAGCGGCTCTCCCCCGGTAAGCTGCGTCATGATGTTGGCAAACGAGAAGGTGAGGTGGCGCAGGTTCTCCCGGGACAGTTGGGGTCCTAGGAAGACGCCAAGCTGATGCTCCAACCTTCCGTAGTCAAAGTCGAGGAGCTGGTCGCTTCTGGGGGCTCGGGCCTCCGGTGCGTGCAGTTGCAGCTCCTCAAGCGCCTCAGCGACCGCGTCGAGGCTGGTGGAGTGGAGGGGCTGAACGACGACGGGCGCCCGCATCAGCTTTCCCTCCACCGTGATGATGAAGTCTAGGTCTCCGAAGCGCACATGTGCGCCCGAGACCCAGCTGATGCCATGACTATCCATCCGAGACCTGGTGTTGATGTCGAAACGCGCAAAAAGGCCTCTACCTGGCGCGCCAACTGTCGATGTTTCGAGTAAGCACCGGCTAGTAAATTTGTATACTGCGCGTCTGACCCGGATGGTGTGCTAAGAGGACACAAGGATTATACTTGTTCGGGCTGAATTTCCCTACGTCCAGTTTCGAGCTGCTCATGTTACTAGCACTGAGTTTGTAGTAGGGGTTTACAAACTGGCGAGAGAGGGAGGTGGCTCCCAAGTCTCTAGTGTGATGCGGTATGCTTGTACGATGAATCGGTGTATGATGATTCGATCCCCTAGTGAGACGCCCTGCTTTCCCTTTTATAGGTCAAGGGAAAGCAGGGGTTACAACCGAAGGGAAGAGGACAAAAAGAAAGAGAAATAAGGCTCCCGGAGGTGCACCGTCCTACTCTTTGCGTGGGTCCCGCTAACCCTGTAGATCGTGGTGGCAGCGGCGTTGTACCAGGGTCCTGTTGGCCGCTGCAGCTTACATGCGGGCGTCGCGCACGCCTTTCTTGTCTTCCGTTCCGTCCGAGCGGACGGAATGGTCAAAGGGTCCCCTGATAGAAGCCATACGGGGGGCTAGCGGTACAGTGCCAGTCAACTGGCGCCGGTTGACTGACGTTGGACAGTGGTCAGGCAGAGAGTTGGCAGCACGGTACCGGCCTGTTGACGCGATGGGCGACGCGAGTTTCCCAGCATGGCCCAATGCGGCCACCAGTCGCATCAGGACACGTCCGAGACGTGCTCCCGGGCGTGCGCTTCCATGCCATAGTGGTTGAAGCGGTTCGAGCCCTATCCTGGGACCACTGCTTTGGTCCGATAGCAGATCCGATCCCCTAAGGATCGGGCGAGGCGAAAATCTCTCCCTAGGAGCCGGACGAGATGAATCCGACCCCCGAGGGTCGGACGAGGCGGGGTCCTCCCCGTGGGACCGGACAAGGTGTGTCCCGGCTCCTGGGGGTCGGACCATGCAGAAACCTCGTCCTCGGCGTCGGACGAGGCGTGGCCCGGCCCCCAGTGGTCGGACGAGGCGGAAACCTCATCCTTGGAGTTGGACGAGACATGGCCCGGCCCCTGGGGGTCGGACGAGGCGAAAACCTCGTCCTCGGAGTCAGACGAGGCCGTAGTTGCGTCTTTAACCATCGGATGAGACGACGTGATGTTTTTTAATCCTTTGGCTCGGATACCCGGGTATAGATATCCAACACCACTCATATTCCTAACTATACTTGACATAACCAAAACTCCAAAAGTAGCATCTACATCACATGCAAGACGACAGCACCGAGGCCAGTCAGAGCTGAGAAGGAAGCCATCAAAACAAATAGGATTTACTTGAACATAAACAATTTAGGCGCCAAATAGAAACAGACTAGGACACACAACTTTCAAAATAAATGCAAAATCACTGCAATTTTAATTTTATGGTCCCCTCCAAAGTATATATGACAGTTCTCATTCATAGTTTATTTTCCTAATTATATTGCATTGCAGGTAATGTAAGATTTGCTTGTCAGCTAAGCTGCCTGCAATTGAATCGGCAACAAGTAATGTACCGGCAAGGATGGATATATGAAGACAGATGGTACAAGATGGATGACGTGTCGAAATGAGAGGAATTGGATCACACCCATACCATGCAGCAACACTCTGCTTTGCAATGTTAAAAAGAAGATACATGTATGTATATGATGCATGCCTCTTTTCACGAGTAACAAATTAAATAAAGCAAAGCAATGCAAAAAGGGAAACTAAAAATATAAAAGAAAAAGACCATGCGTTGCATCTTGGCTGTCTTTTTTTTCCCAGAGACAGAGAGAGCAAGCTGCCTTGCACTTGCACATGAGCTTATCCAGACCACCCAAACAATTAATGCCACACAATTAGAACCTTAGCCTTAGGGGGGAGATAAAAAGCAAAAATGGGTTTGAGATGTGAGCTTCAGCCAGAAAAATACTTTTTAAAGAAAATCTGAAGTAAGAAACTCAATATTGGCAGCTATACAGAACAGTGACCATATCTTCTTCCACCTGGTAGTGGACTAGAGGTAGATAACTTGCTAATTACAGTTCATATACACTGTAAAAATATAACATTGGTAAAGGAAGAACAACATTTCAAGTGAATTCAGCAAAATGCAACTCGAAATACTGATGATCAACTACTGCAATGTTCTTTTTTTTTAACTTTTGACTCCAATCCAGGTAGAGAGTGGAGATACTAATTTCAGCTAAATGCACAAGAAATCAGACAACTAGATCACAGGTAGCAATACTAATTTCAGCAGTACTAATTTCTCGATCTCTAGCAGTACTAGATCAGAAACTATTTCTTGTAATCACAGGCAGAGGTATTAATTTAATGTGATCCGCAGCGGTATTAGTTTCTCTACCTAAAAAATAAGGTACATGTTAGTACTTTATTTTTCTCTCTGCACCAAAAAGTATAACTAGATCACAGGTAGCAGTACTAATTTTGCAAGCATGGGCACTAAGCTAAACATGGGGAGATCACATGGGGGTATTAGGCCTACTTGAGAACCAAACGGACACTAAACTAAACAGAGATGGTTAAACACAAATTGAATGAGACGAGAGATGGATTGTACCACAAATTGAACTAAACACGGTACTAAACAGAGATGGACATTACAAAAAAATGATTTATTAGCTCTACTGAGGCCACAAGAATGGGTTTGTGCCATTCACAGAATCACAGTGCACTCATGCCCAAGAATGGGACTGCAGAGGACCCTCCCTGACCCAATAAATTGCTCAATGAAAAGGACAGAAACATAATCCGGTGCAGAACCCTAGAACACGATTCAATCGAAAGCACCAGCCATGGCCAAGAACCGCCACCCAGTGGCCAAGAACCGCCACCCAGTTCATCCATCCATTCGATTTGATACTAAGAAGTGAAGATTGAAGACCAGCAGATCTAAGAAGAAACACAACAAGAGGATGAGGTGCCCAACATGTGCCTACGAGATCACTCACGACGTGGCTGGTCAGGGAAGTAGTAGGTACAGCCGGAGGCGGCGGCAGTGGCGGCGTGACGAGAGCAGCAACGATCCAGGAAGTGCGCACGGATCAAAAAGTCGGAGCAGGATCCAGAGAGTGGCGGCGGCGGCGTGAGCTACATGGGTTCAGACAGGACAGGTTTCACGTCGTTCTAGCAACCAAAGTTCTCAACGTGCTACAAAAGTGGGGACGCCACTGCCAGCCTCATTGCATCCCGCTTGTCTGTTGCACAAACTCATCATCTTTCATGTACTTCTCCTGCACTTCTGCTATTGTATCCACATGTCAAGGAAAGAAAGGCAATTTGCAAGATATTGGTGCACAAGACCGCTGCAACAGTATATATTCTAAGGCATATGTAACACAGAAATATTACTCCAGATTCCACAACCCAACACAGAAACAGTAAGCTGCCGATAAATCAGCATACTTGGCTGCAATTTCTTGTGGTTTGACTTGCGATCCAGTCACCATATGATCGCTGCAAAATTTAATGGCATGCAGAGGCATGATCTGCAAAGAAAGTCTAATGCTTAGTCCATATTGTCAGTATATTATACCTGTGAATGCAAGTGGTTTCATAGTCCATCTGGGCCATTGAAGATAACATAGAAATTACAGGCGGTAAACGACTTGTTTGCAAAATTTACTAAAAGAAGAACCAGTAAAGGATATCTGTAGTAGTCCCAATCAAGAGGTGCCGCCGCAATTTTGCTAACTCAACAGCACTACTGTCAATAGTAGAAAATATATATCCGTTGCTCTTGTCAATCAGCTTCACAAGATTGCCAACACTTTCCTTGTCCTAGAGGACACAAAAGCTTGTAAAAACTAAGACAATGAGAAAATAGATTTTAATAGTCTTTCAAATACAGACCTGGATGTCCAAAGTTGAAAAATTGACTAAACCAAAATCATCAATCACATTGCAGAGCTCCTTAGTCAGTTTCCTGTTAGCAGGTTCACTCGAAAAGGTTATAAATAGGACAATGCAAAGGTTCCACATTGAAAACAGGTAATAGAAATCTTAGCATATGACCAATGACATTGGTATATATCACTGTCAACTGTTTAGAGGAATACATGTTACAGAATCTGAAGGTCATATTGGTGGACAAGAACAGTAGTCATTGATTTGCAATGAATGAAGAATTATCCACTAGCAACTTAGATATGTTGAAACAGTACACATATCCTGAACCCAGTTCTAGATTTCCACCTTTGCTCAAATAAAACTTAATAAATCTCGTGGAACATGGTGACTGCAAGAATTTTATCTAGGTACATTAGATGGCATCTAAAACTGAACTCACAAGGGAGCAAGAACTAGTAAGTAGGCACTGCATTTGTCTCAGTATTTGGTCAAGTGAATTGGAGACAAATTAACACTTCAAATTTATGAAGTTTAAATTCTCAGCAAATTGAAGTACACTTACTCCTAGTTGCTGGCTTGCTGCAGTAACATTTGTGTTCAGAAATTCACCTGTACTTGGCTGAGCGAGGATCCTGCTCAAGATGATATTGCAAATAAGAAAGATCTTGGACATCAGTGTACAAGTCAAGGTTGAATGCTGCCAATGAATAAGATGAATAATAAATACTACAAAGACATAGGAGTATTAATCAATAAAAGATGGTATGGACATCAAATTCCACGAGCAATAATAAATGTTCAAATGACAGGAAGATCAAGGGCACAATACCTAAATTCCCATAGTTCTAAATTAGGTCAATCTTTGACAAGACATTGATATGTGGCAATTCCATGTGTAGCATTGTTGACAGTGAAAGAAGCAAAGCACTCACATACTTTCCAGGATCACAGCATAAATGGCCATCGATAAGGTGCACAGCAGTCAGCTGCAGAATACAGAAAAAAAAACATTAAACAATCTAGTTCATTAGCATTAAGGCAATCTAAATAGGACCAAGAACACACGCATACCCTCAAGTCCATCTTTTTTATGAGTTTATTAATAACACTTCTTGCATTTGAGTGAAGGAAGAAAAGTTCCACTTGCCCCGGAAAATCAAATAACAGATAGTGATCTGTAGAAATGTTAAGTTTGCAAGTCAATAATTTGAGCAGTATGAGTGTTTACAATGTTTAGTTCTCACCTGCTAAGTCTATGACTAAGAAATATATAGCCCAATAAACAGCAGAATACTTTTAAACTGAGGTGCAATCCTGAGGATAACATAATACGGTTTATAAAATTCTAACTCTAATTCTGATCCTGGTTGGATCATTAGTCTATCAGTATGTAATTGGTTCAGTCCAAGCACATGGAAAGCCCTGTGTAATGTAAAATAACAAATTTATCGATATTAGCAATTTATAAGTTTTTCCATCAGATGCTGCCCTTTTGGGATATGACCATTGCACAGATATTGCCACTGAACATCAGTGCAAACTTCAGAGAGGTATTCATTACTCACCTTCAATAAGAGGCTTCAGTTTTTCTTCAAGCCAGTCAATATTCTTCTCCAAGTAATCCATGCGGTACACAAGCCCTGACATAGATTTTATCACCATAGAGAAAGAAGCCATATTATCAGAACAAAAGCAGGTAGGTTACTGAACAGCAACAGAAGACCAGGAGCAACCTCCATTAGGGCCAAGCAAATGCTCAGCCATGACATCACTAAGTTTTATGAGGTCCTCAATGTTTATGGCACACTCATATCTATTTATCACTGTCAAGGAAAAAATTCAATTGTGACTAGAGAACATCAAGGAGAGAGAGTATGTTATAAGTAAGACATAAGAGAGTGAGTACAGAGGATGGTGGTGCTCAAAGAGTCAAGGATATGGCAATGCGTCATTTGCAGGATCCAAATTGACAACCGCAACTTTCCATGCCACTTCCGTTAGTTTCGTGCCCTCCATGCCACTTCCGTCAGTTTGAGCTCTGAAAAAGTTCAGCGATCTTCAGCGTCACTGCTTTAACTTTTTCGTGCCCTCCATGTCACTTCCGTCAGTTTGGGCTCTAACGCCGTCAAACTGCAGGTGTGAAAAGACGAAAATGCCCTTAAGTGTAAATATGTCATTAATTTTTTTGAGCATCTTAACGACTTCGAATGAAAAAACTCAAACTAGAAAGTTGTAGATCTCGTCGAGATCTATAATTTTCATATAAAAATTATTTTTATTTAATTCCGCAAAAAAATATGATTTGATATGATTAATATATCTTAGAAAAATCATATTAATTTTTTTTGTGAAATTAAATAAAAATAATTTTTATATGAAAATTATAGATCTCAACGAGATCTACAACTTTCTAGTTTTGAGTTTTTTCATTTGAAGTCGTAAAGATGCTCAAAAAAATTAATGACATATTTACACTTAAAGGCATTTTCGTCTTTTCACACCTGCAGTTTGACGGCGTTAGAGCCTAAACTGACGGAAGTGGCATGCAGGACACGAAAAAATTAGAGCAGTAGCGCTGAAGACCGCTGAACTTTTTCAGAAACACACAAGACATTGACGATCTTTTTTTAATGGCAGACCTGGAATTCCCCGAGGAGAAACGCAGAGCCGATTCTCCAAATCGCGTGCTGGGCCTGGGCTGCCGCAGGCCTATGTTCTTAGTCTAATCTCTTCCTTGGCTAGGCCCAGGACTTGAGTCGGATTGCAGGCTTTTTCCTTCACAAAAAAAAAACTATTTCCATTCCCGGCCGGGCGCCATAAATCATGAATGCAGCCGTCGTTCTTTGTTTCGTCGGGCTCATTCCTTGCATGGAAGCTGTCCACCATTCCTCAATCAAATGGTCATTATTTTGTGGAATTCAGGCTGTGTTGCCAGCCCAAAGGCTCATCATCCCTAGCCAGAATTCTTTTACAAAAATAGACATTGAACACAGACAGAAGTGAACCGCAGTCTCCGCCGACTTGTGTGTGTTTTCCTCCTGTGTGTGCTCTCCAGATTGAGGATGCGTTGAAGGAGCAGTATGATCCTTTGAATTGTGCCATGTATGTGATTTAGTGGTGAACTCAACTGAAGCAATCCACTTCCATGTAATCCAGTCGTCTTGATCAGTTAACTGCATCAGATCCCAGAGTCGAGCAAATTCTACGATCCTTTCTACAGGAACGATTTTCTGAATTTGTCTAACTTCTTGATGGTACATTTCTTCAGAGTGAAAACAGTGAGAAAATGCACATGGATGGTGACAGTACTGAGTTTACCAATGTCAATCTGCCTGCCCTATCCAAAATCTTAGCCTTCTATAACCTGGGGATGGGAGGTGGGAGCCTTGCCGCAACTTTATGAGTCAATGGTTACACGGCAGGTCAGGCATTTTTGCCTCCCTCGTAGATTCTTCTCCCTCTGTTTTCACTCAAGAATAGCTTTTCTTGTTATAAATGATAATGATAAGTTACGGACGCGTATGTGCCTTATCAGCTCGTTCACGGATCTATCGTCATCCACTCATCCGCGCGTCACATGCCTGCAGGATGGACTCTGCTCGCCCTACCGCCTCCCCTCGGACGGACTCCGCTGCGCCGCTCACCGACGTCCGCCCGCCGTCCAAACTCACGCCTCCCGTTGCGACCGCGCTTCATCCGCTTGCCGCGGCCACTGCCGAGGTCCGTGCAACCAACGATCTTCGCACCTGCGACCTTCCCTTCCCTTCCCTCACTGCGGCAATTCGAGCTGGACGGGAAACCCTACCTGACGAGTGCGCAAACACCCGGAAAGGTGGTGGCCCGGGTGGGCCGACGGCGGCGCGATGCTCGCGTAGTGGCCAAGAGCAAGCTAAGGTAAAACGATCATCGGAGCCTGTTAGATGGTAGGCCTAAATTATATATACGTGAATACGCAGGACAGACTTGATAACCAATAGAAAAGGAATGAACTGACATATGAATTACCATATATTGTCTCTAAATCGCATGAAAATTTGGCCAGTAAAACGCCACAAATTTAGAACAGGAAATAATCGAACAGCTTGGGAGAAAAATAGTGTTCCTACGCTGAAAAAATAGGGTTGAAAAGACAAGTCTGCCGGCGTCCCTGTTGCTGCCCTGACCAAACCAGGAAAAATTAATGATTTTCAAGATTATTGGTGACTAGGTAAATACCCGTGCATTGAAACGGGAACACATAATACAACGATAACATATATATGAGCATATATTATACTGTTATTTAAAATAAATACCGCAATCATAATGTTCCAATCAATATTACATAACTCTTCGTGAAAGATAGATAGTTAAAATATAACTCTAAATTAGAATGCAAAACTAAAACATCAACTTCAATTGTCGCATCACTTCATGCCTACGATACGTGAAAGATAAGCTTGCACTTCTTTAGGAATCAAGTGCTACGGAAAGATAATCATAACAAGTTTGTGTTTCACCATACATGTTTTAGAATCTATTCTACAATTAAGAATCTAATCTCTCAATAGTTCGAATAAGAGAACGTGCTTTGCACGAATACCAAGCTGCAGTTGGTTTGCATGGCAGGATGAGAACTGAATTGGCGATCATTAGGCAGTGCAAAAAGCTCAAAATTCGAACCAAAATGGATGGACTAAAACCAAACAAACTCACTGCAAATTACCCAAACAGCACGACATATGATTTTTTTCGAACAAATGAGCTCACTCTAAACTATCCAAAATGCACTAAATCTAAAGCATTGACATATTGCAGAGATAGAAAAAAAAAGAAAAAGAGCACATTTAGCTTTCAGTTGAGTAGTTGACCATGGTTGTCGGGGACCTAATACCGGGATACCCAATGAGGTGGGATTAATAACCATCGAACGTTGACGCTTCCGGTCAGACAAGAACGCTTCTACGCTTCTTGCCCGAACGACGGAAGATTGGTTCCGCCTCGCCCGACCCCCGAGGGCTGGCTCCGCCTCGCCCGACCCCCGAGGGCTGGACTCCGCCTCGACCGACAGCTAAGGGCTGGCTCCGCCTCGCCCGACGTCCGAGGGCGGGCTCCGCCTCGCCCGACCCCCGAGGGCTGGAGTCCGTCTTGCCCGACGACTAAAGGCTGGCTCTGCCTCGCCCGACGTCCGAGGGCGGGCTCCGCCTCGCCCGACGGCTAGGGGCTGGCTCCGCCTTGCCCGACGGCGAAGGGCTGGCTCCACCTCGCCCGACGTCCGAGGGCAGGGTCCGCCTTGCCCGACGGTGGCTGGCTCCACCTCGCCCGACGTCCGAGGGTGGGCTCCGCCTCCCCCGACGACCGAGGGCCTAAGGGCTGGCTCCGTCTCGCCCGACGATTGCACCCTGCTCGTTCATGAAGACGAGCACAGGGTACGACAGAACATTCGAGTCAACCATGATATCGAGGGCCATGCCCTATGCGCCTGCAGAAAGGTACCGCCAGAATACGATGGGACGGACGCTTTAAGCCCTTTCCATCATAATAGTGCCCGGATAGTGTTGTGGGCGCCGACTTTTGTCCCACAGTGTAGTAGGCGCCGCATTCAGCCCTCGGGCGCGGATACTAACACATGCATACAATAGCCACTACGGTCCAAGACAGGACTCACATCATCTATAGTGACGGACGTATGCTCACTTCCCCGATGACCCCCCGAGGGGTCACAGCTCGGCTCTCCGGCACGCCGCACCATCCACTGGCGTAGGATGGGACGCACCCACTTGCTAAAAGGGGTCAGGGCATGGCCTACGAGGATCAGCGAACACGCCACCTCTGACACGGTCTGCAATGTTAAGCTGGCATAGGGAAAAGGAAGACCCGGCTCCCTCGAAGGACCTTTTATACCTTTGGTATTTTCCTCTTTCTCCTATCTATAATCCCTGCTCTCCCTTGGTCTATAAAAGGGAGGGCAGGGCCCCCCACTAAGGGGATCAACTTTTGACAGATAAGTTCAACACACACAACATTTCACACACAGCTGAACAGCGACCAAGCTCTCGGTGACCTTTTCGACCATTCCATTAGAGACTTGGGACCTGTCTCTCTCTCGACCATTTGTACCCCCTACTACGAACCTTTTTCGGTACTAATAACACAAGCAACAGCAGACTGGACGTAGGGACGTTCAGCCCGAACCAGTATAAACCTTGTGTCCTTTATTGCACCACCCGGGCCTAACACGCAACAATTATAAATTTACTAGCCGGTGTTTGTTCGAAACACCGACAGTTGGCGCGCCAGGTAGGGGCCTTTGCGCGTTCCAAATCAGGCCTCGGATGGCTAACCACGCAATCAGCTGGGTCCCAGGCGCACACGTGCGTTTTGGTGACCTGGACTTCATCGTCACGGTGGGAGGAGAGTTGGCGTTGGCCCATCTCGCCATCCAATCTCTCCCCTCCATCGGCTCCAGCTACCGGAGGCTTGAGCACTAGCCTGGCGTCTCCCTCGGACCCCAGTCGTCTAGGGAGGACCCGCGCCGCCTCACCCTCTCTCCGGAACACTCCGCACAGAGCGCCCCGATGGTGTTTCTGTTCGGTCTCCGCAACACCGTGGCGGCCATAAGCCACCTTGTGGCCCTGCGCATGATCCCATCCCCCGCGAACAACGAGTTCGTGGAGATGATTGAAAGCGTCATAGAATCCCTCCACGGTCTCCTCGTGGAAGGACCGAGTTTGGACTTTGGCTCTAATTCCGGCAGGGG